AATGTGTTACTTAGTTTCTACCCTGTTAAGAAAATTTTTTGATATAATAATTCTTTCACGTAAATTCATCACTAATTTTTAATATCCGTTTGAGTTGATAGCTCTAATACTAGTTAAGAAAATTTTAAATTCCTCTTATAAACAACTTCCTTGAAATAAAAAGAAAATAGCACAATTACAACACAAAGATTAATGTAAAAGCTACAAAACTAAAAAAGAATTATAGTTAAACAACAATAAAATAATGCTATTTATAAAAAAATTTACAATACATAAACTTTTCTCGTAACCACTTCATAGTTTTAGTACACTTACGATCTAAAGCAATTGTTTGATCTACATCATCTACATCTCTCATCACAATAAAACGAGTATATAGTAGAAAGGTTAGATACAACTTTAAAATATTTTCAACTTATGCACAACTTGAAATTATGAAGACTTAGGTACACTGCCAAACTAAAGCCTTTTGATACCATTATTAAGGGCAAATGGAGAAACTTAAAATATTGAGTAGATATTCATTAATAGGTTACGAGCAACGATGCAAACTTTAACATCCCACCAATTCAAAACTTGAGGCTAAAAATTTGTGAAATTTTATTATTCATATGCTGCTCAATTTCTTTATCTTTATCAAATATAAATTTTTTTCATTTATATTTAACCTCAATAAATTGTACTCCCAACTTTTTCTTAATTACAACGGACCAATGATAACGGAAGATAAGACTAATTAATTAAAAGAGGATGGAAAACAGTGGTATTATTTTCAACACTAACATAATAACTCTTGTGGCACATCTCTAGCATGGTGTAAGAGAGATCTCAATACTAAATCCTTTTTCAATTGAAATTTATAATTGACATGTGTATAACTCACTACCACATTCTTTTCTTTTTTTCTCTTTCTCTTTTTTTTTTTCCATGAAAGATTAAAGAAAAGGAGGGATGCCCCATAATAATTAAGGCATTCTATCTGAAAGTCTCAAGGATCAGAACTTATATATGGATAAGGTATTGAAATATTATTATGGATCACTTATTTAATACGTTTTTATATGTAATTTTTAATTTAAAAATATAATTATAAAAATTATTAAAATATTAAAAATTATTTTAATAAATTCTATCAATAAATTTACTGGAATATAAATCATAAAAAAATACAAATTATTTTCATATATTCAAATGTAAACTCTCTTAAATATTTTTATATGATTATGAATAAAAATAAAAGGATTAATGAAAGCTCACATATTCCAATCTCTCAACCTTTGTCGGATGCTCACAATTCTTGACTTGTGTAATTTCTTTGTAGCCAAGATATTTGAATCTTCCTCTGAGTGGGGGAAGAATGGTGACTTCTAGCACTAGAAATTTAACAAATGCCGTTGCAGATATAGATCATTCCAATATTCTTAACCATAATGGACTTCAATTTAAAGCGAAAAAGTGCAAGTAAAGTTAACTTTTCTTCACTCTTTCAGATTTCAGAATAGAAACCTATCACACAACAGGAATAAAGCAATCTCAAGATTATTGTTCTACTTGTATCTCATGCCTTCCATAAAGTAACGTAGTGCAGACACTTTTCGGACCACTGCGTGACTCAACCATTTTTTAACTAAGTATAGTTTACTTACTTTGCCAATATATGATTCCACAAAAGTAATGATGAAAATTTTTCATAAAAAATTATTATTAATATACTATTATTATAATTTTTAATATATTCTAACATAATTTAAATAAATTATTCATTGATTAGTTCTTTAATTAATATCTTTAGGATACTGATTTATAAACCTGATTTATTTAGGATGTTCACTACAATTGAAAAAAAAAAGTGTTTCTAGACCAAAGATTAATGCACATGATTTTTTATAATTTTGAAGGATTAAAATTAAGAAATAAAAGGAATTAATTTTCATATTTTGAGAATATATATATATATATATATAAATATGATCTTCTTACATCAGTGTAAATCTAAAACTATTAGACCCAATTTTAACCATTCATCTAACTTACATTTAATAGCTACACTTTATAATACTATTTGACTTACACTTAATTTTTCACTCCCAACTTTATTTAATGTGTTATAATTTATTACTTCACTACTCTCACTTTTTATTTCTCTCTTCTGATACTCTGTCTTTTTTTATTATCTAAATTCTGCTTTAAACAAAACAAGTTAATACCTTTGTAATAAACTTACCCAAATAGTATGACTTATTAATTCATTGGTATTTTATTTTAAAAAATATATACAAATAATTTAATAATCAAAAAATAAAATTTTATATTCTATAAATAATTATATATAATAAAATTATTTTAAATAATAATTAAAAATAATTTAATATAGTTTTATAATTACAAATAGCATGTTTAAAATTATACGAGTAATAGAAAAAGACAGAATATCAAAAGTGAGAATAATGAAGTAATAAATTATAACATATTAAATAAGGTTAGTGGAAGAGAGAAATTAAGTGTAAGTCAATTAGTATTACAAAGTGTAGACATTAGATGTAAGTTAGATAAATAATTAAAATTGGGTGTAATAATTTTGGACTTACATTTGTGAAGAAGATCAGCCTCATATATATATATAAGTTTTAAAAAATTCAAGAGACTTATAATTTTATAAAGATAACATTTTACAACCTAATAGCGCATGTACATATTCTCTTAGAGGAAAAGAAAGATATTTATAAAGTAAAAAATTATTTATTATTAATTTAATTTGAGGTACATGATGATCAAACTAATTAATAGAGATCCAAACGTACTGTAAAAAAAAATTTCTTTCCTTTTCAAACAATTTTACTTCAGAGTGTTTTTTTCATTTTTCAGATGAAAATATTAGAGATAGCAAAAGGGAGAAGTTGGCATAGAAAATGGAGTGTGAAAAAACCATGGATATAGTTGAGGGTTTTTGTTATTTCCGTTTTAATTTTAGCAAATGCCATAATTAGCACTTTTAACACACAAACTTTAAGAATATTCCAACCACTCAACCCTGTGCAGTGCATCAGTACTTCTGGTGTCACTGATTTGTAGCCATGAAATGTGAATCTTCCTCTTTGTGGATGAGAATGGAGAGTACTAAAGGTAAATTGAAACCAATGGCATTGAAGATATAGATTATTCTAATATTCGCAGACCATGACAACCCGAATTTTAAAGTCACAAAGTGCAAGTAAGTTTCTCTTTTCTAACCAATTTCAAATTTCACATTATCAGAATTCTTATCGCACAAGGGATATAAAGCATTGTCATGCTACACTTTCCAGTTGCTTCATTTAACTCTTCCACTTGTCTGGTTCTTTTTGTGAAATATTCAGTTCCACGATGGCTAAAAGTGCAGTTAAACATTACTTTTGCGCTTTCATTCATACTATGCGGCATATGCTAAGAGTGCAAAAGATTAACAGTTTTTTTATCCTTCGATATTGGAGGGTTATACTGATTCCAGGGTTCACGTCATGATGAAAGTTTATTATAAATTGTAAAAATACCTTATAAATTTTGTAACTATTTTTATTATAAAAAATTTATTATTAAATTTATGATGTAAATTCTCTTATATATAAGATTTTATTAAGCATATAATTAAGTTATTTATCTATATATGTTTTATATTCATTTGCTTTTCAACCTAAAAACATGAGAATTGAAGCATTATATATATTTATATTTCTCTAACCAAACGTGAAGATTTGGCTAGAGGAAAGCTCAAAGAAGACTACAGAAGAGGATCCAATTTGACCCATAAGAGATGACCATTTATTTGGTAGATCGATAGCTTTACACTGATTTTAATATTTACAATTGAAATGTGACGAATAAGTCATTTATTGTCGTTATATTTGATAATTTTGTTATTTAAATTATTAAAAATTGATATTGCATATGAAATGTTATTATTACTTTCTATATCTTCTATATAATTATATTTTTCCTAAAATATAAAAGAAGCACCTATAAGATATTTCAGTTTAACGGTGTATCAAACATTTACTTTTATTAGGTACTTTCAACTCTAATGTATACCTTAAAAATGAAAATGAATCTCAAAACACATCAGCACGCGTGAAAAGAAAATCATGAAACTGAAGAGAAAGAGAACTTAAACATGAATACAACATGCTTTTGTCATAGAAAATAGTTGGTAAACACTTCCTAAGATATCTACACCTTATGTGATGTGATAGAAAATATTTTTAAAATTTTGCTGAATTTTAAATGGATATTAACAGTGTTTGAATATTTGAAAATGGATATTAATTTATTTCCAAAAGTAGAGGAGGAAACCTTGCCTAATTATAACTGTATATATCAGTGATAAATTTTAATTTATTTAAATTTTTTATGCGCAACACCAGCAAAAACAGAGCAATTACCTAATGGTTCTATCGATTCAGTGACAGCATATGCATTTTAACAAGACCCGTCGCTCATACTTACATTGTAAACAAAATTTCTTCTTTTTTTGGGCAACTCTAGTGAATAATTAATTCTCAGTTATCCCTTTTATTTGTTGAGTATAATTTTTGAAAATATGAAAATAAATATTAATATCACGCACATTAATAGAACTGTCTTTTACACTATATAGGGAAGTGAAATTTGAAGTGTGAACTAGTCGTTCTCTTTCATTTAATTGGTGCCACTAAACGCTAGTTCAGTAGTTACTTGGAAGAATGCCATTGTAGCTAAACGTAAACGGGATGACCAAATAGAAATTTGTTGATGAAAAGTAAAAACAGACAATAGAGATTGAGAAATTAAATTACATGGGAAAATTTTCAAAGGGAAGGTATAGACTCTCATTTTACGACTTAATATAAGGACTGTATTCAATATTCATAAAGCATAAGTATAGAAATAAATATATATAATAAGGCCTAACAAATAAGACTATATAGAAATTACATGAAGTGTTTGTGCCTTCTAATGTGGTTCTCCACTTTCTCTTTTCTGTCCATTCAGAAAGAGGGAACAATGCTACATCCAGCTTCAGTGATTAGTGTTGTATCAGTTCTCTTTGCAAATCGACCCTTTATACGAGGTCTAGTTTCTGCATAGGCCTTTCTTGAGGCGTATCTAATTTTCTTTTCAAACTTTCTTGTTTTCTTTTTCTCTCTGTATCTTAGCACTCTGGCTTCCCTATCCATTGGTGTGAGATGTGAAGGCATTGGAAGAGGAGGAAATAGGTCACTGGTCCCTATTGGTGACTTTGAATGGGATATTGAGATGTCACTAATTGTTGATTCTGGTACAACGCCAACATCCATTGATGAAACCGAAACCTAGAAATCCAAGAGATATAAAAAAAGGTTATCATAAAGTAGAACATGTAAGAAGTTCAAGGGCTCACAAGTTAGTGATCAATTTAATTTTTAAGCAATATAGAAGTAACTAGCCATTTTCATGAAACCAATAATTGACCATTTTCTGGCTTTAATAAAACAGGCACCTAGGCTTCAAATTATTATTTTTTTAATTGAAGAAACCAGTTGAAAAAAATGAGGAAATGAGTTCAGGGAAGTCTAACTATGACCGGACAAAAATTGATGAAAAATTACCCTTCAAAATACGTTCGATTATAAGGGGTTACAGCTAGAAGACCAGAACTAGCAAATACAAAAAGGGAAGAGTAATCATATTAACAAAATAAACACATGGATTAATTTATAGTGAGAAAAATATGACACAACATATAATTGAATTAATAAAAAATAATTTCTTAGAAATTATAAAAAAAAATTTGTATAAATAATGTGAAAAAATAATTAAAAAAATGCCTGACCAGTTGAAAAGTGTTTGGGAAAAAGATGGACAAATAGATCAGAAAAGTTGAAGGATGAATCAAAGTCACAGGACAGTGGAAGTGGAACTAGAGTATTTGGGTACTTGAGTTGGCTCGTTTTCCAGAAAAAGAAACTAATTATGAAACCCAACATGATGGACAAAGCAAAGAAATTAAACTACCACTTCCTAGAGTCAGGAGAGGGTCAAAGCGAACTGTAATAAAGTATGAAAATTGAAGGCATCCGTCTAATTTAATTAATAATTATGGATAAATGATCCAAATAGTTTGGAAAAGGCAAAAAAATTTTAATAAAAGAAGCAAAAACCCTTTCCTTAATTGAAACAAAAGAAAGGAAGATTGAAGAAACTTACACTTTGACTAAGAGAACCATCGTAACTGAACCCAGCTTTTGAAGAGTCAAAATCCAAACCGGGTTGAAAATGGTGTTGAACCTGACCCACAACTTCTCCTCCACACTGAACTGGAACCACCGCATAGTTCTGATGATGAGCAACAGTGTTGTAATTTTGGTGGTGATCCCCAAAACCAACATCACTAAACTGGTTATTGTTATGCCCACAAGAATTACAATGATCCACAAGCTCCAAATACTCATCTCCAAACAAAAATCCATTTTCTTCTTCCCCTAATTCATCGTTCTTCACAGGATTCGGCAACAACCACGACGCTGCTTCAGCCACATCTTCGTCTTCACAAACTACCCCTTCTTCATTCTCTTCCTCTTCAACCTCATTCATGAACCCATGTTCTTGTTCTCCAAACAGTAACCCTATTATCGGAAGAATAGGGACACGGTGGTGGCGACTAGCCAAAGGGTTCGCTGAGTGAATATCAGCGTCACAAGATGAGCAAAGCGAAGCTGCATCCGCTTTGCATAAAAACGCGGCGGGCGCACGCTCACACGCTTCGCATACCCACACTCGCTCGTGCCTCGAAGCCACACGGTTGGCCGCGTGAATTCGAGCGTCACAAGTTGAGCATAGATATGCGGAGTCAGCATGGCAATAGACTATGCATGCTGCTGACCGGCACGTGTCACAGACACGTGACCAGTTGGTAGTTCCGCCACCACTGTTGTTGGCGGTGCCTTCCTTCAACATGGTGTTGTGAAAGTTAGTGGATGAGTGAGTAAGTGTGTAGAGTGGCAGAGTGTTTGATTGTTTTGTGTAGTGAGTGTGAGGGTTGAGTTGAGTTGAGTGAGGTGAAGGAAGTGAAGTAGTAGTAGTAGTAGTGTTGGGGGAGAATCAAGGGTGCCATCGTGGCATGAAGTTAGTGGCGTGTGCAAGTTGAGTTTGGGGGTTGAATATGGGAGAGCGTTTTGGTAGGACCCGTGTGCATATTGCCACTTTGCCTTTTGGAATCATTAAAGAGAAGTTTAGGCCTTTGTTCATTAGTATATGGTGACACAACTTGGAGCCATGTGGCATTTTGGGTCCATGTAGATTCGATACATAAACCCCTCAAAAACAGTACCTAGGTGTGAAGATTAAGCCACTGTAGGTGGGAAGGGTCTAGGTAAATACTAATCCTGTAAAGTTTATTATTATGATATCTCTTCATAATATCTTTTACAATAAGAAGAGAGAAACGTGGAATTAAAACAGTGAATAATATGGTAGAGAAATATATATAAATAATGAATTGTAAACAAATAAAGTAAAAAAGTATTGTGAAATTAGCATTGCGTACTCATGTACTCTACAGTGTTTAGAAACCTGAGAGTGTAGAGTGTTTGCAGCTTATGACATTTCCTTGCTCTTTTTCCCCTCTTTTATGTCGACACACGTATGCACGTGTTCTTGAATGAGTTGTCCAGCTAAAGCTTCCTTCTTCTCTCTATCTGTTAATCCTTTCAATGCGATTGATAATAGTCGGACTTTTTTCAATGCTTAACTCGAATTAATGGGTATATGATTGTAGGCATAAATAATTATGTCGTTCTTTACTCAATGTGTTTTAGACGTATTATATTACTTGTCAATTTAGAAAGGATGAAATATGATTTAGATGGATTGCCAACTCGAGTATTCGACTATCAAAGTTGATATCTCCACACACACACAAATAAGTTTTTTTAAATATTCATTTAATCATATTTATAACACAAAAATATATTTCACTCAATAATCAAGTTTGTTGAAAGCATTCAAATTTGATTCAATGATCTCTGCATTTATTTAATCATTTATCTTTACATTTAAGAATTTCAAGTTTCAAGAAGTTATAGTTTAAAATATCATCGTTAATTAGTCTGATTCAATATATAAATAAGTCAATACACCTTGTGATTTATAAATATATTTGAGAAATATCAGTAATGGACAGATTTTTAAAATATAATTTTCTATTATTAGATAAAATTTATTCTAAATTATATGAATTTTACTTTTAAATCAATAAATTTCACTAATACTTCTGTATTTTTTTTTAATAAAATTCAGTCAATAATAAAAGTGTATTAATTGTTTTTCAAAAGAGTATATTTTTACAATTTTTTTTCAATAATCTTGTGCATGTGTTTATCTAAGTAATATAAGTAAAGAAATTAAATATATAGTTATAATTGAATATTTATTGTTTTCACCCTGCAGCGATAGATCTCTTTTAAAGAAGTCCTAGATTGGATCAACATGCTCTTAGCATAATTCATACAAGAAGATAACAAATTTTAAAAGAATTGTAGTGTAGTAAGGCAAAGTGTTGAAAAGATTAAGTGTGTCTTTTGAGACATTATTAGGTGAATTTGAATCTTCATTGACAAATGAGTCACAATCTACTAATGATTTTTTTTAAAGGAGTTTTAACAGTGGATATAATAAAATGAAGAGGTATGATGCAATCTCAAAGATCCTTGTATATATGGGGGTAAAATTATTTGATCAGTTAAACGAATCAAAATCAGGAAATGAAACTTATGACTTAAGGAAATAAAGAAGAAAACAAGAAAAAGATGATAATTAATATCAAATTGTCACATACGTAATCACTTTTCTTGTAAATGTCATTTTCCTGACAATCCAGAAGACAGCAATCTTATCGAAGTAGAGCTAAAGAGGAAGAACAAGTACAATTGTTGTTGGCAAACAAAGGCTAGATGGATCCAGATAGTTCGTATTTGATATCTTGACACAAGTCCTAGAAACTAGCAGACCAAAATATTTTTGGAGAAGATATAAATGTTCCATTCAAATTAACATAGGTGATATTTTCACCGTTACATAAAAATAGCAATCATAATTTTATTTCTCAATTTTACTATATCTCAACTTTGAAAGCGAGTTAACTAAAGGGACAGTTAAAAATATTAAATGATAAAACTTAATTTAAGAAGTTAAAAAAAAGGGGTTAAATATTCCCATTACTAACCTTGATTTAAGTACTCATTGCCTGCCCACCTATCAATTCACATGTCAAATTTTAGAATAAACTTAATTTATTCTGAGATTTTTTTTTAATCATTTTTGTTCCAAAATATCAAACATGATTATTCTTAGTAATGACATTATGATAAATATGACATGTATACTTTGACTCAAATTTGTTGTAATAACTGCTGCTGCTGCTGCTGCTGAAGTAAATTATTTTTATATTTTTATTTAAGTGATAAATTTTTGTTTAAAAAAAATATAGAAAAAAATGATAAAATCTACTGTATCCTTTGCAATTAAGAGTGTTTATTACTCTCTCTTACACAAAATAATCGTGATGGTTAGTTTTAAATTGATAGATAATGGAGTTAATTAGTAATTTAGTTAAAAAAGATATTAATTTTTTTTATTTTTTAATATATTAGAATTACAACCGTTAATTTAAAAAAAATATGGATGTTGGATCTCACTACTTAGCATTTGAATAACCATCAAATATAGATGTTGGATCTCACTACTCAGCTTGCACTTTGCTTATCTTATCTATCCATATCACTTATTTCTACTAGCTAGTAAGTATAAGATTCTTGTCATCACTACTTAGCATTTGAATAACCTTCAAAGATCCCATTCTCGACAAGATTAAAAACTTTTCATGGATATACTACTTCGCCAGGATGATCCATAAATTTAATTTGTGATATATTAGATCCGAAGTTTTAAAGATAATTGTCACCATACAAAGATCAACAAGGGCATGTTTGAGTGGTGAATTTCAGAAGAAAAGTAAATAAAAAGATATTTACTACAAAAACTAATACATTAAGCTTTTATATCATCAATAAACAATTTTTATTAAAAAAAATTGTCCTTCAAATTTTTTTCCAAAATCTAATTCTCAAACATATCCTATATGCAATTTTAGTTATTAAAAAACCAGATGACAGAAAACTTAATCTCAAGGGAATCCCCAGTACTGGTTTGTCTTTAGAATCAATTTCAGGGGTGCAAGTAACCGTCTGAAGCTCATCAGATAGTTGGTGAATATTTAGTGAGATATCCAGCCTAAAAGGGTATAAATCCGTACATATATGTAACAATAACATCCACAAGTTCTATTTTCTATGTCTAAACTTCGTTCCACATGTATCTCATGCCTTTTAAAAGTGAAAAAAGTGCAGCCACTTTTGAGGACCACATAATGACCTGGGCTACACTTTCCTACATGATACATGAAGTAGGAAATTTATAGAGAAGCCACATATTAAAAATATTTTGAATATTAAATTTAACAGCTTTGAAATCTTCAGCTAAAAAAGTTATTTATATTAGGGTGCAGTTTTTTCTTCTTCTTTTGGTTAGGACCTTTGAGAATATATAACATAGTTACCATATCCCTTCACATGGGAGTATTTATGTGCAACATATAGTATATGGAGTAAAACTCAGAATATTCTAACCACTCAACACCTAGTTGTGCATCCGTATATCTATTATTTCTTCATTGTTTTGCAACCATGAAATGTGAATCTTCCTCTTTGTGGGGAAGAAAGGTGACTGGCAACAACAACAGGTAACAAATGGCGTTGCAGATATAGATTATTCTAATATTCCTAGACCATGACAACCTGAAATTTAAAGTGAAAAAGTGCATGTAAACTTCTCTTTTGTTCTGCACTTTTAGATTTTAGATTACCAGCCGTTTGTCACAATGGGAATAAAGCAATCACGTGGCCGAATCTCCCATGGCATGGATATATTTAGTATCATTACAATTTTAAAATTTCTACTCTTTGCCAAATATTCATGTCCACGAAGACAAAAAGTGCAAGAAAATTTTCCATTCGCACATTCAATCATACAATAACAACAGCATATACTACTTAGGAAGAGGGCAAAACGTTTTCCTTTATTGAAAGTTTTATTCTCCCATAGCGCTAGCTTTAACATTGAGAGTTACATTCTTTGTTGTTTCTCTTTTATTTAAGATCGATGGAAATTGAAGCATTCTCATGATATTAACGAGATTATTCTTCGCATAGCCAATTATCTAGCTAGCTAGCATCACCTGCCAAGGTTATTTGAGTGTATATATAGTTGAGTGCTTGCAAACTTAATTTTAGATGCCATTTAGTTTCTCTTCTTCTCATTAAAAAATAAAAAAGTGGAGTCAACACAACTTTAAATAAGTTATAAAACTATAAAAAATAGTTTTTTATATTGAAAATTATGAATGGTAGAAAAACTTTGGAGCGAAATTTTTCATGAACGGGGAGCTGTTGACGAGACATTATACCTCGCAAATGAATTTACGAAACAATTAACCACGAGTTGTTTCTTTCCATTTTGAAAATTTTCTTACGAAAATTTTCCTACTGGAACCAAAATAGTTGAATGAAGAAAGTGCTGAAAAAACAAAGCTTGCACAAAAGTTAAATATAATAGTTTTTACGTTTTAGGAGAAAAAAAGAAACAAGTCAAGTTGAATACTTTTCATCTAGTATTGTTTTATAAAAAATACTTTAAATTCAATTGAAAAAACAGTAAAAATAGTTAAAATAAATATTTTTTTCTTTTTCTTTTAAAAATAATATAATTTATCAGTTTTTCTAGATTTAAGGACACATCACACTAAGATTCTATATATAATAATTTTTTTACGACAACATATCATATAATTTAATATATTGATGACATTAAAATTTATAATTTATAATTTAAATTTATTATTATCATTAAATTTTCTAATTATAAAATATATATATTTAATTCATTAAGTTTAATAAAAGTTAAGTATATGTT